AAAAAAAAAGTTACTGTTGGATCAGCTTTTTCAAATTGTACTTACTAACTATAGTTGAGAGATACTAAAGCAACATTATGCTGTCATCATGCTTGTTAAAAATGGTCCCCATGACTGAAGGAAATAAGCCGTGGCTTCCTAAAGGTCTACCGTAACTGTCAGTTGCTATGTCTAACTGAATTTACTGTTTCCACTGCAATATTTTTTTTTTTAAATACAATGATACCACATCTATTCCTGAGATTTTTACAAGGCATTTGAGGCTTTTCAACATTCAAAAACTAAGTCACTTGTAGAACTGGGTTTCTTTACCTTAAAAGCTAGGCCTAATCTGGAAGCCAACTCCATTTGATAGGATTTTAAAATGTTTCTTTTGTCTTACTAAACTGATTGCTTCCTGTTAAATGAGCAGGCATTTCTCTCACACAATGCCTTTACATACTCTGACACTGTGAATGACAGAAAAACTTCACACATCTAGAAGCTCAATGTAACCCTTAATGTAACCCATAAATACAGATTTCTGTTTTAGAACAAATAGGGACTTTTCAGATTCACTTCTACATCCTAGCAAAAGGGAGTGAAAAGATGAGTAAGTAAAAGATAATTTTGTAAGAAAACCAAAGAAGGTACAAGATTTGAGGAAAAAAAATAAAGATCTCATTGGCAATTAAGATGTGTTTATTTGGGAAATTGTATTATTTTCTTAGTGATACTGTAACAAGTTACCACTGTGAGAGCAGCTTAAAGCAACATTCACTTATTTTCTGACAGTTTTCTAGGCTAGAGGTCCGGTAAGATTCAGTTTTGGATCTGTGAGATGGAAACAAAGGTGTGGGCAGGGCTGTGTTCCTTACTGGAGGCTTCTGTGAAAGAATCCCATCCTCTAGGTCAGCTCCTCTGGGCTTCAAACTGTGGTTCTCCTCAAAGAGTTGGCTGTGCCCAGGGCCCTGTTTTCAGCTTTCAGAAGCTCACATTTCCTGACTCTGGCTGCTTTCTCCATCTGCAAAGCCAACCTGGGTCAGTCAGGTGCTTATCTCACTTCATATGCCCCCGGCTCCCTTTCCTTCCTGCCTCATCTTATAACACCTCTGTTGCTGCTGGATGTCTCTTGCCTGTAACCAGAGAAATGCCTCTGTTTTAAGGACCACACATGACTAGATTGGGCACATCTCCCTATTTTAAGATCTGTGACCTTAATTATATCTGCAATATTTCTTCACAGTGATACCTGGGTTGCTCTTTGGTGAAATAATCTTGGGAGGGACATCTTAAGAATTCTGTTTGGCTCAGGGATGAATATAGCAAAAGCTACCATTGGGAACTCTGGCCAAAGCGGGGTGGACAGCAAGTTTTGACTGTGAATTTTATACCATTACTGCCTTTAATATTGTTAATTTGCAAGAAGACCATTATCTGAACAATAAACTATATGGTCAGTATATATATATATATATATACAGGGGACCCTGATAGGTAGGAGTTTTCTCCAATGCTCCCTTGAACTCCCTAGCCATTTTTTTTAATACAGATTCCATATATATATATATATATAGTGACTGGTTTTAATATGGTAGCCAAATGAAACTTATACATTTACTGACATGAAGAATCAGTTTTCTGTTGGCTTTTCATTAGATATGTGACTTATGAGTGAATCCAAAGATAATCCTTCTCTGTTTAGCAATACTGCCCTGAGGGCCAGTTTCCCAGAGGTATTCTTCTTATCTCTAAGGCCTAAGTCCCTCATTCGATGCAGCCTACAATCATAGATGAAGTGGCAGTGGGGAGGCAGAACTGATGGCTAGACCACAGGTCACCTGACAAGTTGTTCAACCTCAAGGAAGGTGAAGAAATAGGGTTTCATGGAAAGGCTCCCAGTATTAGGAGTGGAAGAGTTTCTCTGGGCTTAGCAAGAATAGCAGACAGGGGACCCTGATAGGTAGGAGTTTTCTCCAATGCTCCCTTGAACTCCCTAGCCATTTTTTTTTTAATACAGATTCCATTAACTTTTCCATTTCCCATTTCTGTATTCACAATTCCTTTCCTTGAATTCATACTCAGAATGTACAACTGTTCAACATATCAAAACATAGAAATAGCATATTTACAAATGAACTTGACCTACACTATTCTGAACAAATAAAAAAATTGCATGGTTTTAACTTAATTGAGTGCTCGATGGATTTTGGTTTAAGTAGAACAAAAAAAAAGTAAATAAAACCTTTCAGTCCATAGACAATACAATATACTCTCTCTTGTCTAGTCAATCCCATTGAAATTGCACTTCTGGGGCTGAGGTTGTGGCTCAGTAGCAGAGTGCTTGCCTCATACGTGTGAGGCACATTTTTTAAGCACCACATAAAAATGAATAAACAAAATAGTGTGCAAAAAAATATTTCTATAAAAAAATAAATTGCATTTCTCTCCTTCACTGGTAGTTTAACAATGTGGTGATTGGTATTCCTGATAAAGGGCTCAGACACAATCGTGACTTCTGAACTGTCAAAGAAGATGAAATTGTGCCCAGTTTGGGTGTTAGGAATTATATGCATATTCCTTGAAAACTGGAATCCAATGTTCCATACATACATCAAAACTTCTGACTTAACTTCTAATGTTTGCTGGATATAATACCCCATGCCCTAAATAGGCTGTAAACTTTATATTACTATTGAGATTTTAGTATTGCCTCTTGGCTTTCTTTGCAGGAATCCATGGAAAGAATTTTGTGAAAAATGGCCTTGATTTAGCCTTGTTCAGAGATTCAGAACAGTCAATGGCAGTGGAGGACTTGGTCCTGTCTAAGGTGTATCCCAGAGGTCTGTGACAGTGACCACAAAGCACCAGTAGGCAACTAACAATGGCACTAGCCAGGGACTAGTCACAGCATGCATGGTGGTTGGTTATATCTGTACAGTATTTAATATGTGATTTAAAGCATGAAGCCTTCGGAAGGAAGCACATTATAGTCTAAGTTTTGATTTAAAATTGTGTTCATATGTGTAGGGCTTTTATTAGCTTTTGTTTCATCCTTAAAGAAAAGAGGGACCATACAACATCATGTCCCTAAATGTCCCTTTCTGTTCCCAAATACCTAGCCAAGTTAAGGGAACAAAGAGGAAGTCAGGCTGGAATGTCCAGATACATGTTATCTTGAAGGACACTGTCTTTCTTGTTTGTATGCTGGGAATTAGGGCAAGTTTGTGTTATCTGTAAAATGACTACATACACCCTCTCTCTGTGGTTAGTCAGCATTGGCCACACTGGATAAAGGGGTGGAGAGGGATAGGAAGCCCTATTTTCTAGTGAGGTATCATGTGAAGGAGGGATATACCTGTCCAGCCCTATCACAAGACCTCCCCCATAAGCACTTCCCAATTAACCCTTTATCGCCTATCCTTCCTCCTGGTGTCTTCCTTGGTCTTTGAGCTATCTGTTCTATTGACGGAGCACAACTGCAAGATAGTACAGCTTTGTCAACCTAAGTAAATTTGTCTCTCTGAGCTGTTTGTTTATCTGTAAAATGAGAATAGTACTTCAAAGGATTAATGTCAAAAATGAAAAGATAATGCAAGACAAAGGATGGACATGGTGAACTCTAGGTAAGTCTTTGCTCTTATTATTATAGTACAAGCCCATCTATTCAGTGCTTATATCATAAATATTTGTGTGTTAACACCAGAAAGAACAATTGTCATATTAGACAGTTAGCCAGAGGAGAATTCTAATTTATGTGGCCTTGATATAGGAATATTTTACCATTCAAAACAGAAAAAAAAAGCTATGGTGGGATTTCTTGACCCCTAAGGGGATGGGTGCAATTGTCAAGAATAAAAAGAGGGAATCCATACGGCTTTTGGTTTATATGACTGGAGTCCTAATTCCCAGTAAACCATGCACTGAGAAATTACTGAATTCTGCTCCATGCTTTATTACACTGTCGCATTTGATCCTTGCAATAATTCTGGGAAGTGGATACTATGACAATCCACTTCCAGTTTATAAATGAAGAAACTGAGGTTAGGTAATCTTCACTGTTGCCGTTGCATGGTTAATAAGTGTCAAAGCTACAGTGAAATTCCAGCCTCCACCCGTGCTGTGAGCACAGGCTCACTCAGATATACTGCCTCTGACACAAGTCCATACCCCCCAACCCCCTCTAAGTCATCCTGCAGGTACTAAGGAAGCTGGGAAGAGATGTGCCATTCCAGCCTAAAGGATAAGTTCATCTGGAGGCCCTAGAGGTGGGGTAACTCAGGCTCCTGACCAGGTATTGTGATAGCGCCTCCCTTGTTTAGTGAAGTAGGTTAGGCAGGTAAGTTTGAGGCAAATGTTTGTAATAATAGGCGTCATATATTGACTTACTTAAGGCAGTGTAATCCATCCCCAGGATGACCCATAAAGTAGGTATTATAATTCTCTTATTACAGGTGAGCAAACAGACTCAGAGAGGTTAGGGAGTTTGCTTAAGGCAAAGTCAGTTGCAAGAATAAAAAATACTACGTATCTGAAAGATTTATGACAAAGAGAAATCAGATGGTCGAAGAGTCACTTAGGAAACTGGCAGTTGCCTCCTGATGAGAGATGCCTCTGTGCCTTCCAACCCTGTGAATTCAGCCACAGGGACTTTGAGAAGCCAAAGTTCTTCCTATGGGAGGTTGTGGAGACAGGAGGCTTATGAAAACCAAAGTCACAAAAGATCTTAGAACAGGGAAAGCCAGTCACTAAGGTCCTTGCTTGATTAGAAGAATTCAATAACAGTCGCATAACAAGATGTTTGTAATAAAAATATGCTCATATTTATAGAATTTTCTCACATTTGATGAAATATTCAAAACATTTTCTCAGAAAGGCATAGGAGAGAAACACCTAGAGAGAAAAGAAAAACATGACGTTTTTAGGTTAGATTACAGCTTGTCACTGTAAATATATTTTTTAAAAAGCCTTTTAGAGCTTGCCAATTTAGGAAGAACATTATGACGAAAAATAAGATTGAGGTTAAAAAGGACAGAATGCAGAAACTGCTAGCCCAAACCATTTAATCTGCCTCCCCCACACTCCCTCTGGGTAGTTTATTTGACACATTTTAAAACCTCACAACACAGACTACATTTGACTGTGTTCATGTTAATTTTAATTATTACAGAAAGTATGTTCTCAATAAAGGCTGAAGTTGACAGTAAACAAACAAACAAACAACAACAACAACAAAAACTCTAAAAAAGAAGCCACTGGAGGACTAGAACAGGAGAGGAATCCTGTTCCTGTTTACAATAAATTTCATTACCATGACAACTCCCGCCACTGAGGACTTATCACCATGACTACTTGGGCCACAGGTTCTAATTGTAAAATGACAAATAGGAGGTAAAGTGGGCAGTATTTAAATTAGTTTTTTTAAAAATCAGTTCTTTTCTAAGTTATGCATGACAATAGAATCTATTTTGATAAAATTATACATGTATGGAATGATCTTATTCTAATTAAGACCCTATTCTTGTGGCATGATGGTGGGATTCACTTAATTTCATAACTGTACATAGGAAAATTATGCTAGATATATTCTACAGTCTTTCCTATTCCTAGCCCCACTTCCTTTTGTACCACTTTGTCTAATCTTCTGAACTTTTCTTCTTCCTCCCCTACTCCTCTTTATTGTGTTTTAGCTTCCACGTATCAGTGAAAACATTTGACCTTTTGAATTTTGGGATTGGCTTATTTCACTTAGTATGATAGTCTCCAGACCCATCTATTTACAAGCAAATGTCATAAAGTCATTCTTCTTTGTGGCTAAGTAGTTTTCCATCTTATTAGGTTTTCTAAAGTAACTAATTTGGGGAAATTGGAAATGGGGGAAAATATTCTAATCAGCTATCATAATATAACCAAAGGGAGAAAATGGGGTAAGGTTTTCAATCAGGTCCACATATGGAAGAGAACACCCCACAGTTTAGCATATAAGATACTAATTTCTAGTCACTGGGGCCTTGAGCCTCTTTTCTTGTTTGGCCCACTCTTATCTACCTAATGGAGTGCTATCTTCACCTTCACAAAAGCCGTACTCTGTTACTTCTTGCTCAATTCTTTGTTCAGGACACCAAGTGAAAGGTTAATAAAATAGGTACTTGTCACTCCGTTTTTCTATATGCTTAACAAAACACTGTTGAAATCTTAAGAACTGTTTGCTAATCTTGTTCCCAGAATGTGCTGTCCCCAACTGTGAACTGTTTTCTAATCTTGTTCCCAGAATGTGCTGTCCCCAACTGCCAAACTGCAAAATGTAACCTCCCTCCCTGCCCTCTCCAAGGAAAGTATATTAGCTCTGCTTAAGCTGTTCTCAGGGCTCTCTCTCTCTGCTCTATTCAAGTGAGCTCTGAGCCCCAGCATGCTGGTCCCCAAATAAACCCTTTGCTGTTGCATGAGACAGTCTCTTGGTGGTCTGTTCCTCCGACGTTTCACCGGTCCCTTACACAAGGACCTGGACTTAACTGGACATCCCAATGGTAACACCACACCTCAGTATTTGCTTATCTTTCACCTCTTGTTATGTCTAGTGTTCTCTGTTTTTTTTCTATATGTTTTATATTTGCCAGTATAAATTTTAAAAAAGACAAACAGGAAGCAAATTCAAAGCTGTCTTTTGAACCAAAAACTTGTGGTCGACAGAGAAACATTTCTGGATTGTCATTAGTATAACATAATTATATAATAAGAAGAAAGTTTACAGTTTGTTGAGCATTTAGTGTATGTATAAGTGGAACACCTTAGTACATAACTTGCCTTTAATATACAGGTTGACATCCCTAATATGAAAATTCAAAATCCAGAATAAGTTGGAGGATTTCAGATTTTGGATTTTGGTCAGGATACATTGAGATAAAAGTGAATTTTATGAACCTTTCCCACCACATTCCTGCCAACATTTATTGTTACCTGTATTCTTGATAATTGCCATTCTGACAAGTGAGATAGAATTTCAATGTACTTTTAATTTGCATTTCTCTAATTGCTAGAGATGTTAAACATTTTTTTCATGTATTTTTTGAACATTTGTATTTCTTCTGTGAAGTGCCTATTCAGTTATAGTGCCCGTTTATTGATTGGGTTGATTCACTCATACATTGCTGGTAGGACTGCAAATTGGTACAACCACTCTGGAAAACAGCATGGTGATTCCTTAGAAAACGAGGAATGGAACTACCATATGATTCACCTATCCCACTTCTTGGTATAAATCCCAAAGATCTAAAATCAGCATACTATAAGAATATAGACACATCAATGTTTATAGCAACTCAATTCTCAATTCACAATATTCAAGCTGTGGAACCAATCTATGTGTCCTTCAATAGATGAATGGATAAAGAAAATGTTTTATATATATATATATATATACACACACACACACACATGCACACACACACGTACACACACACACAATGGAATATTACTTAGCTATAAATAAGAATGAAATATGGCATTTGCCAGTCAATGGATGGAACTGGAGACTATTATGCTAAGTGAAATAAGCTAATTCCCCCAAAACCAAAGGCCAAATGTTCTCTCTGATATGTGGATGCTAACACATAAAAATAGAGAGGGAGGGAAGAGCAGAATTTTATTGGATTAGACAAACGGGAATGAAGAGGAGGGAGAAGGGATGAGAATAGGAAAAACAGTAGAATGAATTGGATATAACTTTCCTGTGTTCATATATGAATACATTACTATGAAATTCCATATCTCATACAACCACAGGAATAGGATCCTAATTAGAATAAGTTATGCTCTATGTATACATAACATATCAAAATACAATCTACTGTCATGTATATCTAAAAGGAATTTTACAAATTAGGAAAAAGTAGACAAAGGATACATAGAAACTGTACTATTTTGGAACTTATTTCTAAATTGAAAATTATTTCAAAATAAATGTGTTAAAATATCTAAAAAAGTGAATTAGATGGTTATAGCAAAAAAAAATTTGTGAGCAGTTATAACATCTTTTGTGACTAAGAAGAAAAACGTTCATGGGCTGGGATGTGGCTCAAGCGGTAGCACACTCGCCTGGCATGCGTGCGACCCCGGTTCCATCCTCAGCACCACATACAAACAAGGATGTTGTGTCCTCCGAGAACTAAAAAAAAATAAATACTCAAATTTCTCTCTCTCTCTCTCTCTCAAAAAAAAAAAAAAGAAAAAGAAAAAGAAAGAAAAATGTTCATCAGTTTAAACTTCCTTATAATTACAAAAAAGGTTTTATAACATAATATCCAGTGAAGCTCAGCTGAGACAAGCTGAAGTAATGTAAGCATGGAAAGCAGGTGAATTATTTTAAATTATTCAATTTTTACTTCTATTAAGGTATTTTATAATTAAAAGCCAGGTTAAGGTACCAATTTTGGCAAATTACTGTTGATATTGAAAATTGAGATTTATTGGGACTATAAGGATTAGAATTAAGTGAACTTATTTGGTTTGATATGTTTACTAAGGTAAATCCTCCAGAAAGTGTGCTCTGGAGTTGGTTGTTTTTGGATAATAGATATATTTTAATAGTCCTTTAAGTCCTATGACAGTGAGCTTGGTAAGCAAGATGGGAGGGTCTTTGGATTGGAATTAAAATGTTTAATAACTAAGTAGTAAACTGAGCTTTTCTTTGGTTAAAATTTTTAATTTGTGTGATCTTTTTTCTCCCTAGAGTACTTAAAGCATTTTTCCACTTTACATTTCTTTTTTCTTCAGAGTTGATATGTGGGATCTTTTTTTCAGCAACCACTTATATTCTTGCCTATATTGTTCAATAATTAGAGAGTTCTGCATTAATTCCTCATATTTATTATAGGAAGCATCCTTTGTAAACTAGTGTTCCATTATAGAAATAAATTAGTTATTGATGAATAGGACCTTCATAACCAGAATGCTGTAGAAACACATCATAATTTTTTTCTCCTTAGCACATTTAAAAAGCATTAAAATAAATGACAAAGAACTTACTAAATGTTTATGACTTTGGTTTATGCTGTGGGCTAATGGGATGAAAGGCTAATCCATCAGTTACTCTTACTGCATTTAATTACCCAGGATCACATTCTACTATCCTGCAAATTACTTGTCTCTTTTCTTTTCCCTAGGACCAAGAACATTTAACAATACCAGGAAACAGTTACCTTAAATTCAGGGTTGATGTAAATGGAGAGAAAAAGAAGCTTAATGTAGAAAACAAACAAGATGCTCAGGCATCTAGCGGCTGCTCTTGAGCCTCTAACTAGGCTACTTCAGTTTTGGATCATGTTTTCTTCTTTGTGTCATTGCGGCCCTGTTTTATCTGTGACATTGCATCCATGATATCCTGAGAGAGGTATTCATGTTCTTGTTTACAGAGAATAACTTTGTATTTTTATTTGTAAATTATTCAGCACTTATATTTTTAAAAATGCTTTGCCATCAATATTAGTTATTTTTGTTTCAAATTTGACAACCAGCTCAGGGAGGCTGAGCTAGGAGAATTGCAAGTTCAAAGCGAGCCTCTTAGCAGCTTAGCAAGGCTAAGTGAGAGCTTGACTCAAAATAAAAAAAAAAAAAAAGGGCTGGGATGTTGCTCAGTGGTTAAGCACTCCTGGGTTCAATTCTTGGCACCAAAAAAAAAAAAAAATCAAACTGGACAACTAAAGGGTGGTACTTGATTAAAAATGGGTGCCATTTTTAACGGGAGAAACTCCATGAATGTCGTGATTGTAGGTAATAGATGTTCATTAGCAAAATTAGGTAATCAAAAGCAACTTTCATCTTGGGTTTAGAAGAGGCAGCTGATTACATCTTTGTAAAGGCAGGTGAGCTTTACAGCACTGTGCTCCGGAGGAGACCTGGGCACTGATTGGAAACGGTTGGGTCATTGTAGATAGTTGGGTCAGATTAGCTACCAGCTGATTGTGTCAGTTTTAAAAGGTGATTTAACCTCTCCTGGATTTGTTTTTCTTGACCACAGAATAAGAAGTTCTTTCAAAATTAGCAGCTTTCAAACTGTCCTGAGTCAAAATGCATCGGTTTTATATCTTGAAGCCCTAGAAGCTCTTGGCCTGGAGACCTGAATCACAGCAGGAAGCAGGGAGGCCCCGAAGAAAGAAATGGGTTTTCAGAACTCCACCATGAATCAGAAACTGTTTTTGTTTTATATATTAGGATTTTCTTTTTCTTTTTGATGGGGGAGGATTGTCTGCTTAAAGAAGCAAAGCAAAAAAAAATGTTGGCAAACTCAATCCAAGACAATATCTAGGTTATCTTCCAGTGTTTTAATTACATACTTTGGAGCCATAGATAAAATCTGCAATGTGAATAAAAATGATTTAAAAAAATGAATGCCTGTAGAGGAACACAGACAAATTCTTGTCCATTTGTGTCTTTAGGTTTTACATATGACTCTGGTTAATGGTGTATGCTGCAAATGGGGTAAGGCAACTTAATAGTTAAATTGACATTCTCTTGACTAATTACTATAGATGATATTTGTCTCTGTGAATCTAATGGTGCCAAACAGGCTGTACTTGAAGTGAGTCATATTGAATTTGGTGCCTTTACACAGTTTTCTCAGTAATCATGTCCCTATCTTGAAGCAATTTCACTATCTGATTTCATTGGGAACATTTGGTTTTGGTGATCACAATTACCAATACGTATAGCTCTTTAAGTCTGACTTTTAAAATTTTCACATTTGTTTGGAAAGATCTGTAGACAACAATATTAAAAAAAAATAACCTCAACGTTTGTAGAAATGGTGAGGGTAGAGAAAAAAAAAGAAAAAGGAAATTTTTAGCAAAAGAAAATTTATAGTATATCTAAGATATACAGAGCTGCTTGGCACTTTATTCAGTGTGTACCTGAAGATTATCAGCTATTAGAGCAGGTTTGCAGAAACCATGGTGAGACTCGTTTTTCTGGTTTAGACAATGTGATGCTGTGACCTAGATATGGAGTAGGGAGAGGCCAAAAGAAGGGGCAGGGGGAAGAGCAGCCCTATTTCATTTCCCTGAGGGTTCGCATCCTTGCATCTGCCATAAGCTTTCACACTGCAGAGCTCCTAGGGTCCCAAGTCTGCTTGAACTGATCTGTTTTGATTTCTAGGGGAGGTGGCAGTCAGCCTGTGGGCTTTTGATACCATGTGGCTCCTCTCTTCTAATAAGCCTGTCCTTGAAACCTATTGATATTTTGCCCCAAGAAATCTTATCTTGGTTAGAGGAAAGACATCAGGGTCAAGATATTCTGTCCATGAGTTTAGGAGGATTTCTGCGGCCCATAGTCAGGAAATGTCATTGCTCCTAAACAGGGACAATATATCCTCAGGTCACCCCAGGTGCAATCTCCCTTAACAAGAAAGAGGTCAGGTTCAGACTGTAAATAAATTCCTGTCACACAACAGTGCGTCTTTTCAGGTTGGATAGTAAATCTTCATGGAGATGAGCAGCTGCATGTATTTTCATTCTACTCCTAGGATTTTGGACTTCATTAATTTTTGTAGTTTGCTGTCTGTCTCTGTTTAATGGAAAATAGGGTACATCGATGATGTGGATATGAACTTCCATAGAAAAATTTGTAACAAGCCTTTTGAATGTTGTAAATGGTAAAATCTCCAAAATCTCACAATATATTGCATTTAATTTCCTTCATTTTAATAGTCCAGATGTTAGTAGCTGCAGTCAAGCCTGAAGTCTCAATTCTGATTCTTTAGCCATTTAGTCAGTGTTTATGAAACTATTGAGCTGTAAAGATACAAAAATGAAGGAAGTTGGTTGTCTCAAAGAACTTACAGACTAGCTGGAAGGAGAAAGATGCAAAAAAAAAAATTAAAATATAAACTCCAAATGTTATTCCTTGGTTTACCAAAGGGCGGTAGAAAGAGGGAGGGAATTGCCTGGGAAGTTTGGACTCCACCAAGGAAGTAGAACCTGAGCAGATTCTTTCTCAGAATAGTTGAATTCTAGGTAAAAAGAGACAGGGAAAAGGAAATATATTACAGATGCAGGAAGAGCTATTGCAAAGACCTATAGATGTAAGAGAATACCACATATATAAATAATTGTGAGGATTTCAACATGATGTGAGCTTAGGTAGAAGTTGGAAGTGGGAGGATATGCAACTTAAAAGGTCAGAATGGTTCATTTAGGCCAAGGACATTGGACAGTCCACCTAGCAGATTCTTCTTGCCCTGACAGCCATGTGTAGACAAGATCTGGGCTCTTTCTATTGCTGTGACACACCCCTATCTTTGCTGCCTGGAGTGCTATCCTGGATAACCAGATGAGCAGCTGTAGTACTTCACTGTGGTCTTCTTGCTTTGAGAAAAATGTGTATTCTGCTTCTGTCTGAGGCAATGTTGTATAAATATCCATAGATACACTTGTGCTACAATGTGGTTCAATTCAGATGTTTTTTTTTTTATTTTCTGTCTGGATGATCTGTTCATCCAGGAAGGTGGAGTGTCAAAGTCCCTCACTATTGTTGTATTATATATAATCTCCCTTCAGATTTAATAATATTTGCTTTGTGTATTTGGGTGGTCCTATGTTAGGACCACATATGTTTATAATTGTTATATCTTCCTGTTGGATTGACTGTTTTGTTTAGAAAATTTTTTAAGTTGTAAATGGACACAATACCTTTATTTTATTTATTCATTTTTTTAATGTGGTGCTGGGGATCGAACCCAGTGCATCACACGTGCTAGGCAAGCGCTCTACCATTGAACTACAACCTCAGCCCGATTGACCCTTTTAACAATATATAATGATCTCTGTCATATCTCTCTCTTTCAGTTTTTAATTTAAAGTCTGCTTTATCTGATATGACTATAACTATTTATGATCATTTTTTATTTCTATTTATGTGATGTATCTTTTTCCAATCTTTCTCTTTTAGTGTATGTATATTTATCAATGAAGCAAGTTTTTTGTAGGGAGCATATAATTGGGTCTTGTATTTTATTTTATTTTTTTGTGCATTTAAGCCATCTATGTCCTTTGTTGCTTTTTATTTTTGCAGAGGCAGTTTATGTCTTTTGATTTGTATGTTTAATCTGTTTACATTTTAGTTTATTAGTAAGAATAAACTATTTCTTCTCATTTTGTAAATTGTATTCTGCTTGCTTTGTATATTTTTTGTTTTACAATTTTCTTGCTTTGCACTCTGGTCATAAGGCATTCCTCAGATGACAGTATATTTTAGAGGAAGCCCTCATCTTTGTCCTTCTCTACTGTTTTAATTTAATAAAAGTTAAGAATGACAGTTATCGGAATATAAGTCGAGGTCCTTTGCACGACTCAAGAACTACTAGAAAAGAGAAAAATCACTAGGAAGACTAGTCATATTTCGCTTTGTTTCATATTTTGGCAACATTATTTTGTGTTTTTGTAAAGCAATTGATTTCAAAATCTAGCCTGGACATCTTTAATTTTATTTACAGCACTAAACATTTGATTCATATATTTTACAAATACATGCCAAGAAGAAAAGGTCACTGGGGAGTAGACTTTCTGAGCCTGAGTGTTGTCTTATAAGAATCTGAGTTTTTCCCACTAGTAAGAAAGATCATTGCTACTCCTGAGTCACACAGGGAAACATGAGTTCTGGTCAATTATATCCAGCAATATCAGTTGGGATTAAAATGTTCACAGTGTCTTATGAGAACTGTTAAAATTAGCACAGAAAGGACACAAACACAGAGACAAGTTCTGTCATGGATATAACATAGATTTCTGTTGGGATGGAAGATGCTGGAATGGACTTCTAAGGATTCCTATATCCCCCTTTGGATTTTTTTTTTTTTTTGAGAGAGAGAGAG